CTGTCCAGTTTGTTAACCAGGCACTAGCCACCCATTAAAAGTAAATAGGCTAACTCAGGCAGGGGTGGGTGCTGGTACATCCTTCTGGCGAGAAGTAATCAATGCCGGCCCTCGGACTTTSCTACCATAAAGGGGAAGAGYGTGAGTGTGTCCTTCATGTATTCCAATTGACTTGCCGGTGGAGTAGGAACCGGACTGATGCCCCCCAGAATGGAAAAGGGGCCAGAACCATAAGGTTCTGTTTGAGAAAAAAAAAAATAAAAAAAAAATGCATTGATACACACATATACCATCCTTTTGAACGACTTCGAAATCTCAATCAACAAGATGTCAAGCGCAAATCGACAAACGGAAAATTACCGAATGGAAATTGCAAGGGAGGGAGGGGAGATAATAGACAGGGAGGAAAAAGCTACCAATAAAGCCTGGCACCTAGATGAAAAGCAATATTACAGAAGATCGGTCCATTCATTCATAAAACATTCGAAAATACTTCGAAAAAGACGAAAGAACGACAACCCGAGGAACTGAAGACAAAACAACCATTGCAAACCAACACCATGATAGACGCAATGTTTCAGAAGATCGAAAAAAACTCCAGCTCCTTATCTCAACCAGAAACAATTACAGATTACGTCGCCCACCTCGCACCTCTACTATCGAACAGTTGCAAGGTTCCAAGGGAATAGAAGGGAAGATCGGGGAAGGAGGAAGAGAGGGGGGGGAAAAAGGAGGGAGGGAAGGGGAATGAAGGAGGGGGAGAATGGGGGAGAGAGGGAGGGGAAGGGGGAAGGGGGATATCCCGCTTCAGCTCTTTCCTCCAGATCAACGCATTCCTGCAGCTGCGTGGATCATCTCGCCGAATCGCGGGAAGGGCGTGGCAGCTCCCTAAAGCGCTTTTCTGCCTCATGCCACGTGGGGCGTCATCAGAGGGAGGGACATCTTCCAGGCTCTCTGGAAGGCGGGGGGGCGGTAGTGGTCGGGTTATGGATGGGGATGCATTGAGATAGGGATGATGAGGGGTTGCGTGATCAAGGGACAAGGGACGGGGCATGGGGGAGGGGGAGGGAAGGGGGATGCGGGAGGGGTTGGGGGAGGGAGAAGATGAAGTAGAGGAAGGAAAGAAAGGAGAGAAACGAAAGGAAGGCCAAAAAGGCGCATGTCGAAGCTTCCGCCATAGTCCTCTGCTCCATCGCGCCGCTCCTCGCAGTCTACTGCGTCTAGCTAACAACCATGTCCACCTCCGACGCCTAGCACAAAGAAGAGGCAGCAGCAGCTAGCGAGAAAGATGGTTGCGAAGCAGATAGTGCAACCGATCAATAGTGCAAAGCGCCTAGCCGATAAACTGAGGAAGATTCCCTCGGAAAGACATGCGGCCAGCATTGCGCCAGCTATGGCGAGGTTGGGAAGGAGGGCGAGGAAGAGGAGGAGGACGGACACGGCGTTTCGAGCCGGTGCGGAGGGGGGTAGGCGGGGCAAAGCATGTTCAGCCGGGCAGGTAGCATCGGCATGCATGTCGCTTGGCCTCGGAATACTCAGGCGCCGGGTTACGAAAGCAAAACCTGGAGAGTGCCGACCGCCAGGAACGTTACCACTTCATCCACCTCCTGTTGCTCCTCCTCCAGGTCCCAGTCAGCGAAGAAATCCATGCCGCTCGCCACCTCACTCAATCGCCTCGTGAATGCGGAAACCGGACACCCTGTTTTTCCACTAGAACCATTAACCGTATGGTGAATCGATGAATAGAGCCCCTGTGTTCTGTTCTGATATAGCCGCGGAGTCCGTCTGAGAATCGCTGCCTTTCGATGCACGCTATCGCCCCCATCCGCCTATTCATATACAGCTATCCTACGGCTAATAAGAGGACCTAGAGGAATGGAAAAAAGGGGGGAAAGGGGAACAAGGAAAAAGGAAAAAAGAAAGGAAAGAAAAAAAGGGAAAAAAAGGAAAAGGAAAAAAAGGGGAAGAAAGCGGAAAAAAGACAGAGAAATGCTGAAAAAGGAAAGAGAAAAAAAGGAAAAAGTGGCGGGGAGCCAGGGTCATAAACATCAAGACCAATTGTACCGCGCGCCTACTAATTACCCTAGTCCTGGGCTTTATTCGACATATTCCGAGAACGGGCTGCTCCCGTAGTCCAGTGTTTAGCTGGCCCTTACACTACATGGGGGTTTCCTTATTCATGGAGCCGGGTCCTGGTTAGAAAAGAAAAAAAAAGCGGGG